AGGACTGACACCCAAGATTGTGGTGACCTCCACATGTTCACTGTGGCATGTGCATGCACACACACACACACACACACACACACACACACACACACACGTGGGCTGGGGGAAATAAAACAAACAGAAAACTATGTCTCTAGGTCATACCCCCAGAGAAATTCAGTGGAACGTGAGCGAGGCCTGAGAATCTGCATTCCTAACAAGATTCCCAGGCATACTAATGCTGCCATTATGTGAAGTCAGAGAAACAGCTAAGGTATGTGGTCAAAACACCCAGAGAGACAGATTCAGAAAATCAAGGCCAGGGCCCAAGATTACATTCTGTGGGTGTGGATGTGGTACTGGGGATTACATCTAGGATCTCATGCATGCTTTGCAAGCACTCTAAAAGTGAGCTACATTCCAAGTTCTGCATTTCTTAATAAGTGCCCAGGTAATTCTGACATTGTTGGTCCACAGGCCACACCTGAACGTTTAGTCAGCCCTTCTGCAGTGCCCTACAGTCACCAAATTAGACTCTGCACTCTAACAAGCTCTCCCAGGAAATTGTTACATACCTTAAAGTTTGAGATGTGCTGTTTGGTCTTTGACTATATCCGGAGCTTGGAAGATATCCCCACCCAACTAATTAAATGAGAAAGCCTGGGGTAGGGCCCAGGCAATGGTGATGTTGTCAAAGCTTATCAATATTTCTGGAAGAACCAGCTCTCTAAAGACAGCAGTAGTTGTTGACCCTCTGGACCAAAGAGTTTCCATTTCCAAACTCTGAAAAGTTTGACTTGAAAGACCCTAAGAAAGGAGATAGAAAATGATGTAGTTTTGCCCCTTGAGCAATAAACTGAGGCTTAGAGGAATTGACTTGTTCCAGAGCAATGGACAATCGTGGGGTTGGTGGTATAGTTAGTTCCTCCTTCCCCTCCTCCTCCTCGGATACCTTTTACCTGTTTACTTCAGAAAAATCCACATGCAAACCTCAGGGAGAAGCAAACTAGCCTTTTTGAGGTGGAGCACCCTTTTTTCAGTGTAGGATTTCCAGTCTCTGTGGTCAGATAATGAAGTGTTGTCTCTACTTAGTTTTGGGGAAAGTGGAGCACATAGTGTTGAAGAATAAGAGAGAAAAATAGACTCAGGAAAGATGCAGGGTCCCTGCCTTCCTCCCAGCCCCCTCTCCTTAAGGATGTAGTTGAATAAGAAGGTTAGGAATGATGGTTAGTTACCACGGTAACACATCCTTATCAATTGCCCATCCTCATGAGATTTGCTTGGTGGCCCCACCGCACTGTAACAGGGTCACAGAAAAAGCAAACCAGTTGGCCAGTGCTAAAATCTTCCTAGAAGGATGTCACCTGCTTCTGTACCCCCAGGCTTCCATGAAAGGGTCTCCCCAGTGATGGATGGGGGTGGCCTTAAAGAGAAAGCCTAGTTGTGGGGAATCCTCCTGGACCCTGTGTGTCCACTCTCTGCTTTCAATGGCTTGTCTGCCTGCATGCCCTGGTGGCCCATTCTGTGTTTTGTGGGAACAGGCTCATGTCTGCAACAGTCAAAGCATAAAGGCTCCTGGTATGGAGCCAGCCACACCTTCTCCTTTTGTTGGGGGCACATGGGGAGATTCCTAGTATGATACAAGGGTCACATCTGGGAACCTGCTGCCTGCTGCATCTAGGAAGGGGGGTTCTTTGTACAGAGTGACCGTCCCAGCTCCTGGCCCTCTCTCCCTGCCTCTAAGTTCACTCACCATTCTGCCTCCTTCTTCACATTACTCACGGAGACCTTCCTTGCCCATCCTGTGCAAGGGTTGTAGAAGTCATCTTAATTCCATCACATCATTGTTCAGTTCGCAGCCTGAGGCAGCAAGCAGGAATGCCAACCAAGATGACAGTGACCCCCAGCATGTTTTGTTTTATTTTTTCAAGACAGGGTCTCAATATGTAGCTTCAGCTAGCCAGGAACTCACTCTGTAGCCCAGGCTCGCTTTGAACTCTTGCTCAGTCTCCTGAGTGCTGGGATTTCAGATGTATGCCACCAAGCCCACACCACTGGCATTTTTGAGGCTTGCTATGGGCCAGCATTATAGCTTGTTATTATCCAGTTGAATCTTCCCAGTAGTCATAGAAGGAGGAACTATCCTTGTTCCCATTTTGCAGCTGAAGAAACTGAGGTTCAGAGAAGTGATACTCATAGGCTTGGTGTGACAGAGGAGAACCAGATGTTGGTTCATTGACGGGAAAGGTGAGTAACTTTGCCAATCCCCTATAAGCAGGTGAAATGGCTGGAGAAGAAGCACAGAGCATCAAGGGCTGTGTGAAGAAGGGTCCAGGCGAGGGCTTGTAATGAGAGGCACTGTTCAGAGCTGAGTGGAGGCTGCCTCTCCTTCCAGCTCCTGTCAGTCACCTCTTAATACATGTGGGACACACACACACACACACACACACACACACACACACACACATCTACTTTGCCTGGGCTCCTGGCCCAGCCCCTGTGGCCTCTACATCATCGAACCACTATTTATGCTCACGAAGCCAGAACTGAGCCCTCCATACCTCCTGCCCTAGCCTGGGGCTTCTGGGAAATGCAGATGGACCCAACACTGAGCTCAGACTTTCTACTACCCTGCCAAACTCTGCAAAACCTCCCAGGAGATGAGTGTGGCTCTGCCCTCTTAGTCAAGGGGAAGCTGTAGCTAAGCAACAGGAGAATTGCCAGGTCATGGCAGGAGAGAAAAATTACTTGGTGCCAAGCCAGTGGATCATCACCAACACTTTCTGCCTAGAAAGCCCTGTCCACTTACCCTACCCTAACCTAGTTGACATCACAAACCACCAAGCACCACCCTCTTTGAGTTTCCAGCTCTCCCAAAGTACTTTGTACAGAAGTCTAGAAGAAAAGACAACCACCCCATCCCAGGGGAACTCAATAATCACCTTTCCTATGCAGACAAAAATGCATAACTCATCTCATGTGATTCTCTCTATACAATATTTATTGAGGTCTCTTTTCCATGAGGGGATGCCTCTAAGGTTGTTTATTTGAGATCTAAGACCTTGGGGAACACTGGGAAGAGATGATGGGAAGCTCTTCCCTCCCCCATGCCACCTCCCAGCAAATGCTTCTGTGTTGTTCTTTTGTTAAATCTGTAATTCCATATGCCCTTGAAGAAAGCAACCACCTTCTTTCCAGTTCAAGTTGGACCTCTTTATGGGGACCTTGCTCACCTGCTATGGATCAGATTTGGAACTTGACTCTAGTGGTTTCCTAACTGCTGAACGTGGAAATCACCCGGGAGCTTTAAAAAAGAAAAATCACAATGCTTAATTCATACCCCAAGCCAGTGACACCAGAATGTCTTGAGATGAAAGCCAGACATCCATATTTTTTAATGATCCCCAGGAGAGTCCAGTATGCATTAAGACCCAGGAAGCATTGCCTTACCTCAATCTGAATTCCCTCCCACCAACTCCTCCCTCCCTTCCAGGGCTGACTGGTGACCTTGACCATAGCCTCAGCTCAACACTGGTGTCTGGGCTGTTCAGACTTAAGGTGTAAGAGTCCAAAGGCTCTCTCACTACTCACATGGTTTCAGACAAGTCAGACTTTGACTTTCAGACCTGGTTCTGGTCATTGCACTTTTTTTTCCAGGTTCATTCCCATCTTGTACCTAGGAGCTGGAAATTGGACTCAAGCAATACCAACATTTGTGGTGGAGGCATAATGGGGTTTATAGTTTACATACAAAAATCCCATTTAGGGGCTGGAGAGACAGCTCAGTGGGTAAAGGGCTTGCTGCACAAGCATGAGGACCCAAGTTCGATTCCCAGCACCCACATAGTAGCTGGGCATGCTTACATACATCTGTAACCTTAGCACTGGGAGGGAGAGACAGGCAGATCTCTAAACTTGCTGGCCAGCCAGTCCAGTCTAAAATGATGGGTTACAAGTTCAATGAGAGACCTGATCTCAAAAAATAAGACAGCAGGTGATAGAGGAAGATACACAATGCTCATCTTTGCTCTCCTCAGTCATATGCATGGGTGCACACACCTGCACATACATGTGCATGTATACACACACACACACACACACACACACACACACACACACCAAAAACCTTATTTAAGCCATGTACCTCTAATCTCATCACTTCGGAGGCAGAAACAGGATCATGTGTTTGAAGCCAGGCTGGGTTGAATAATGAGACCTGTCTTCAATTAAAAAAACCATGTAATTATAATAACCCATTCTATAGATGAGATGGGATAAATCATTTTCTCCCATAGTACCTTTCTAAATTTATTTCCTAGGGCTGCCATAGCAAAGTACCACCAATTGGTACTTTGGAAATACACGCTGGCAGTTGGAAGTTTCAGGTGTGTATGTGCAGATTTGCTTCACACCGGAGCCTCAGGAGGAGACTCTACTCCATGTCTTAGCTTCTAGAGGCAGCAGCCATCTGAAGTATTTCTTGGCTTGCAAATGTCACTCTAATCTCTGCCTCCATCTTCTCATGACCCTCTTTCCTATGCCTGGACATCTGGCATAACAAACCACATCTATAAAGACTCTACTTCCAAAAAGGTCACATTCTGAGATTCCAGGTAAATACTCCCCAACTCAACAATCCTTCCTAATCCCAGGAACCCAATTGCTGTCTCAACCCCCTGTCTTCTACCTGCTGACAAATCCTGACTGTCCCTAGCAAACCTTCAGCACTCGTGCTTGCTATGGACAGCAGCAGCCATGTCTGCTGATGGCCAGATGAGAGTCTTCCAGCATGCTGCAGCTGCTAACTGAATATTCCAAAGACACATGTTACTAATCTCGAATCTCTACCTTCAGATGCTCCAAGGATCCCCTTAATGTGACTGGCCAACATACTTGTTTGAAGACTATCCGGGAGACGTTCTCTGGGAAGTCCCCTGACTTCTCCTTCTCCCACTGTTAGTCCTACTGTGCAGCTAGAAGTCTAATTCGTATTTGTTTGTTATTGTCTATCTTCACAGGAAATGGATACATTGAAGGTAAAGAGCTAGAAAACTTTTTCCAAGAGCTGGAGAAGGCAAGAAAAGGCTCTGGCATGGTAAGCCAGCACCCGACCCCCATTGTCTGTTTGTTTCTGTCACTCACCTATATAGCCTTGAGCATGGTCTCTCCTACTGTGCGTCCAGTCAGCAGGCCTGGGTTCTCTCTGGTTTTGACACTTAATATTTTCATTTGTAAGGATGTCTAAATATCCTCCGGATGCTTGAGTTGAGCGCTAACCACCATGGACACCAAGATTTGATGACTCCCTCAATCTGTACAGCCATCTATGTATGCATGCATGTACACATCTTTTCCTAGAGATAGAGTCCATAGTCCCAAGGGTTTATGACTCGAGATGAGGTGCTCAGAGGACCCCACATGCCTGTAGGCTAGATTCAAGTACCTTAGCTTCAGCACTATTGACATTTGAGGCTGAATAATTTTTGTTGTGAGGGATGTCTTGTATATCGTAGCATGTTTAACAGCATCCCTGGATCTATCCAGGAGATGCCAGTAGCACCCTCCTCCTTAAAGTCATGACTATCAAAATGTCCCTAGATTTTGTCAAATGACCCCTGGGTGGGAAATGGGGGAGGACACAGAATCCTTCTCAATACAGAACCAGTATTCTAGGCCAACAAAGACTGATCCTCCATGAGGACCTAGAGGAAAATTGAGGAATCCTCTAAAGCAGCATCTAAGCCCAAGATGGTCCCCGCCTGCTCTTAGGTAGGGAGGTGTCATGAACTTCTAACTTGTACAAAGCAACTCCAGCCCCAGATGATAGGAATGTTGTTTCCTCTGGTGCCAACATGGCCCTGTTGACTTTGCTAAAGCCTCCTGGGAGAGGCATGTAAGATACTGAAACACAAAGATGACTGAGACTGGTTTGCTGCAATTATCATGTCTAGGAAAATATAGAGGCTACTCCTTCCAAATAACTGCCCCTGGTCCTTTGAGGGTCTCTCTCTTCTTACCTGCTTCATGCCTATTGATTCACCCACTGCTTATTAGCAAGTCTTCAAGGAGCAGTTCTTGAGAGAAATTAGTTAACTGTGAGCTCCTGGCTCTATGCTCAGCAAAGTACCAATGTACATGTACCCAAGTGAGAAAGAGGTCAAATGCATGGACTTGGAGGGTTGGAGGTGACCCGTGTCTTTAAAGAAGAAAATGAGCAATTCACATTGCAAAAGTGGAGTGTTGGAGCCTTTCTTGGAGTACTGGATTAAGTTGGGCTCTATTACAGGCTGTCCCAATAAGAAATGGAACCTCACATATAAGTGATGAGAGTTAAGTCCAAGCCCCATGATGGAGCTGTGAATTGACTAATCTCAAACGCAGAAGGATGCATTTAACTACATGGTACAGAACATATCCACGTGCCGTAATTACGTGACTGAGACCTGAAGAAGAGACCATTGATTTGAAAGATCCTAGCAAAGAAGAAGACCCAGCACTGACCCCTCTGAGCACTGACACTACCTGATTCTGAGCCATGTGTCCAGGACACAAAATAATCCCCAGCCCTGCTTCACTGAGATCCCTGACTCCTTTCTCTGTCCACAGATGTCAAAGAGTGACAATTTTGGAGAGAAGATGAAGGAGTTCATGCAGAAGTATGACAAGAACTCAGATGGGAAAATCGAGATGGCAGAAGTGAGTGCCGTGGGGCTGGCTGTACCTCCCCATGCTCAGGCACCTTTCTAGGGACCTAATGAGGGGACACGCTGAAAGATGTATCCTGTTGGCAGTTGCCCTTCTGACCACTGAGGGATGACACTGTAGGAAGTTGAAAAGGTCAGGTACTATGTAGATGTCCATGTTGTAAATCTTAGTGTCAGAAGACTTCTTCAAAAATACAACCTATAAGAAATGTTTTAAGATTTGTGGGCCATGTAGTCTCTGTCCACAACTCTTTAACTGACATTATGACAAAGAAGCCACCACAGTTAATATGCAAATCGACGGGTGTGGCCATGTTCACTAAAATTTTAAAGCAAGCCTTGGGTCATATGTGGCCCTTGACCATAGTTTACTGACTTCTGGTTTCAGCCAAGAGAGGCTCCTAATGAGCAAGGCCATGGTCACGGGGAGCTCCAGCTGGATGCCAGGGCTCTAGCTCTGCTTCTTGGCTGTTGGCTCAGTTCTGGTCCCGTGTCGTCGTCATGGTGTTCCCCCCCCCACCCCATTAAGATCACGGTCAGCTGCGTGTAGCAGTTCCAGATATCACATCCAGATACAACCATGCCCATGTGCACAGAGGGCCCCTTTTAAGTGAAAGGAAACCTTTCCCAGAGCCCGGCACGGTTCTCCTCCCACATTCTATTGGCCAGAACGGGGTCACATGCCTACACATAAACCAATCACTGATGAACGGGATGGGATTATCATACTTAACCGAATTAGACTAATCTGAATTTGCCTGTAGTCCAAGGATTCTGGAAGCAAAGCGGGGTGAAGAGCAGTTGTGGGGAGCTGCCAGCAAGGTTGGCTGCATGGGGGTATTTGCAGGTTTGGAGTGTATAATTCTCCCAAGTTTAGATTCTTGGACCATGAAGCCACCACCACAGTCAAGATACTCCAAAAGGTTTTTCTCAGGCCAGCTTATCCCAGGCAATCGTCATTTACCTACATCAGTTTGCAATTTTTAAGAGTGTTTGTTTATTTTTATCTTATATGTATGAGTGCTTTGCCTGCATGTATGTAAGTGCTCTTGTATGTGTAGTGCCTGTGGAGGCCAGAAGAAGGCCTTGGAGTCCCCTGGAACTGGAGTTACAGATGGTTGTTAGCTGCCATGTAGGTGCTGGGAACTGAACCCAGGTCCTGTGGAAGAACAGTCAGTGCTCTAAACCACTAAGCCATCTCTCCAGCCTCAATTTTTAAGAGTTTTAAACATGTGAGGTAGATCAGCTACCGAGTCTTCTTTTGAGTCTGGGTGGCTGAATTTTAAAAGAGTACATTTTCTTCTGCCTGTGGAGGAGCTGACCCTACTCTAAAGATTGAGATAACCCAGAATCTTCATCCCCTGTGAAGGGCTACCAGCCTCTGTTCTAAAAGAAGGAAGGAAGGTTAACAGAGCAAAATGTGATTTCCACACTGCCTGCACACTGGTCATTCCTACCCTTCCTCTGGGAAAGCCGGCTCTGGTTCCTGAGGTTCCCCCTTCACGTCAATGTAATTCTGTGTTCCTCAGCTGGCGCAGATCCTGCCGACAGAAGAGAACTTCCTCCTGTGCTTCCGGCAGCACGTGGGCTCCAGTGCTGAGTTTATGGAGGTGAGGCTGAGGCATCGCCTTCTCTCTGCATGTGGAAATCCACCTTCCTCCTGTGTTAGTAGAAGGCCTACCCTGCCTGATACCTGGGGGTGGTCCCTGGGAGATGCTAAGCCCCCTCAGAGCTCGCCACTCAAGGTGTGGTCCCTATCTCAGGCAGCAGACCTGCGTGCTGGTCAGAAAGGCAGACTCCCTGATGCACTGGATTAGAACTAATGCCTGAGCAAGATCCCCAAGTTGGAAGGAAACAATTCTCAGGATGGAAGAGTCATTTTTTTAAAAGTGCAATTTGCCCAAACATCAGATACAGATATTGCTTTAATTTTACGGTGCTTTTAAAGATTTTCTCCAGTGTTTCCGAGATGGCAAGATTCCATAAGCCAATGATTATCATTCTGGATCTGTCCTTAGCTCTCTTGCCTGTATCAGGGAAAAGTCCAGCATACCCTTAGCACATGTCAGTAGGCAACCTTTGCAAGTGTTCTTTTTTTTTTTTTTTTTAGTCTATAGAAAAGGGAAATAGGGCTGGGCGTGTAGTGTAGTGGGCTTGCCTAGCACGTGCAAGGGCATGGTTCATCCCCAGCACAGAAGAGGAAGGAGAAGGAGGAGGAAGAAGAGAGGCAGGAGGGAGAGGGGGAAGAAGAAAGGAAGAAAAAAAGGAAAGAGAAAGAGAGGACTATGCCTGACTCTTCCTTTCCTTATGAAGATGCAGTCAAAGGTTGGCCCATCTCTGGTCTGGGAATAGGGATGCAGAGAGCTTTCAGGGGCCAGAGATGCTTAAAGAGG